ATATTGTCTTCGTAAATCCAGATATTAGCCTTATGAGGATTAACCAATCAGATGCATTGATCTGCGGTCCAGCTTGCCTTAGCAACGAGCTTAGCAACACGACTGCAACAGTTAAGGCCCGAATAAGAAACAGGAAGTCACAAACTAGGAATTTGCTGTGAGTAAAAGGTGAAGGTAATTATGCAAGAAAATTGAATTTAAAGTTCTACTATAGACAAGTGCAATAAGCTCACACAATAGACATTTAGCAGTGCAGCAAAGCTAATCAGAATAAATGGCCATGTACGGGAATCGGCTCCAGCTAGTTTATGTCCGGCTTCTTCTTCCTGAAAGCTAACACCGTGCAGACCTCGGCCCTGGCTCCTCTCCTCAGCGTCAGTCTGTGGTCCCAGTAGAACTCTGGAGAGATGGCTGCTGTCGAAGCTCCTCTCTACACCTGCAGGTTTCATTCCGCGGCTCGGATCTCAGACCAGTGGGGGCTCTGTGTGGAGGAGTTTGCGGAGAGGAAACACCCTCAGGGACCCGGCCCCCTGTAAAAGATATAAGGAATGTGGACGGGACTTTTCCGGGTCACACAGAGGTTGGATTCCTGCACCGTCACCAGAGCTGTGCTGGAAATAAGTCTCGGAACAAAAACAATATGTTTAGAGATGTGTAGAGATGGGGAAGACACTTAAGCATGCAAACATATATTTTCTGTAATATGGTCCAATCAGATTGCAGTATTCAGAACACTTGGAATAGTATGTTTCTATTTCATTAAACTGATGACTTTCCTTCATTTTGTTCTTACATTTTTATTTTTGCATGTTTTGTAAAGCGTCTTTGAGGGTCCAAAAGAACGCTATAAAAGTTTGATGAACACTGCAGACCTGACCTCACAGGCCGTCCATCTGTGCAATACTGTGCAATTAGACTGTGCAACATGGGACTTTCTTACTTAGTCACGTGTAGCCCAGAGCCTCACGCCGCTAACGTGTGCAGTAGTTTCATCAGTAAGGACCCTCTACCTCAATATTCTTGCACCAGAGCAGGTAGAGCAGGGTACTTTTACACGACAGAAATAACAGAGAGCTACTGCCTTTTACCGTTTAAGTCGTTTAAACTGAACAATGTAAAGTGCTTTGGGTTGACCTTGGTCTGTAAATAATGCGCCATATAAACAAAGATTACTTACCTACGTACGTTATTTCCCACATTCATTAGTGGGGGATAGTAAAGCTTGTCTTAGCAACATCTCTGTCTGCCCCATGTTAAGATTAAGAGATCCTTTATTTGTCCCACAGTGGGGAAATTTCAGGTTACGGCGCAAAGCTAACTTGGTCGGAAATGCCCATATCAGAAATTGGCTCCAGCTAGCTTAGGTTCAAATTAGGCTCTTCCTCCTTAAGGCTAACTCTATGGGGAACCCTGGATCAGTCCACTCCTCAACGCCATTACTGTAAACGTATTGGCCTCACGTATCAAAACCAAAATAAAACACGGACAAACTTACGTGAGGAATGCATACTAGTCTCCTTTAATGATTGTATGAGTTTAAATACATACCACTCATACAGACATGGCTTTTACCTGTGCTCTCAAATGCATCTAGGGCCCGTGTCTCAAAAGAATCCGGTCGACGTGGTTCCATGCATATACGGCGCATATAATGATTCTCAAACAACTCCAAAAGGACTTATTTTTCACACCTCTTCACACATTTTCTTCCCTATCTTTGTAAACACCAGCATCTCCATAGCGATAAGTTACATACGCACGACAATAGTTTGATTAAAAATGTATTATCGATCTTTCTCGCAGCCTGACAACCTCCAAGGATGTCTCTATTCATCACATTTTGTTTGTTTTACTGTGAACGGCTTATTCTTTCCGCACGAAAGAAGCAGAATTAGGGCCGAACGCACAAACGAAGGTCACGAAAGTCAATAATATTGTGTTTAAACTTTGCCTTGACTAATAACGGCGTCTTACACAAGCATTCATGGTTCAGACTGCATTTTTCTCCAGTCTACAGCGGTAATCTCGTTATAGTTATTGTCTGCGCCCACTTGAAGTCCCTGGTCTGGACTGGATTCCTTGAGTTAATAATCTTCATAACATGTACGTATAGCCTCCGGATTGATTGAAGGATTTTTGTTCATAAGATGTTGTTTGCTGAGAGATGCAATCGTTGGAAAAGCTTTTGAACAAGGGGAAAGCAGAGAAACTATCTCAAATCATTTACGAGGTTTGAATGGGATATTTTGCTTCTGTTGTTTGGTCTTTGCTCGTCTCGCTCTCGCTTGTTCTCTCGGCACAAAATCTTATCGTGGTCGAGCGGAAAGGAGACTGTTGAATCACAATATTTGTAATAACAAGGAAATATTCAGACTATTTTAGAATAGTTTGTGATAAGAATATTGCACAATCAAAAATAGCTTCACTCCAGACACAGTGGTGATAAACTACTACTATAGCCACAGATGCCCTGGGGCACATTGGTGAAAGCGAGGCAAGCCGTATGTGTCATCGGCCTCTACGACTGCAACCAACCACACACACACACACACACACACACACACACACACACCAGACTCATTCTAATGTGGGTGAAGTGTCTTGCCTAAGGGCACAAAGTCTGTGGCACTGTGGTTCCCAGAGATCTCCCATCACAGTACTAACCATGCCCTGCCCTGCTTCGCTAACAGGATCTGGCTTTTACGTTTTAGGAACACCAGGTGCCACAGTGGGGCGGCTGCGGCTGCAAATTTCAACACACTTCCCCCACATTAGAATGAGTCTGGTGTGAGTGTGTGTGTGTGTGTGTGTGTGTGTGTGCGTGTGTGTGTGTGTGTGTGCGTGTGTGTGCGGGTGTGTGTGTGTGTGTGTGTGTAGTTGGTGGTGGGAGGGGCCGACGGCACAGACTGGTTGCCTCGTTCTGTTAGCATGCCCCAGGGCAGTTGTGGCTACAGTTGTTAATGTATAATTATCAATCCAGTTCCATCCTTGGGCCATCATTTCCTCATCCTGCTCCTGGATTCCGTCGTTAGCATCGGTCATTAGCTCGTTTCGCGCTCGGTTAGCCGCCTCATGTGCGATGGGACCGGTCCGCTCAGGCGTGGACTTGTGTGTGGCCCGGCTCTCATTAGCACCTTTGTTACTTTTGGCCTTTCTCCCTCTCTCTTTTGTAAAAACCCGTGGCCTCTGCGGCGATCGGGCCGTACGCGCCGGAGCGGTGACTTGGACAGAACACGTTAAAGATAAAGTTTTCTTTGAACTGGCTTTGATCGTGGTTGGTCGGTTTTTCTAGTTTCTTCCAAAGACAGAAGCGAAACGTTGTAACAATTCTTCTGATGGATCTTTTCCCATTGAAGTTCGTCTTCACTGGGTCTTTGTGATGGAAATGGGGCCTATGGTTGTTTTTATGTCAACCTGAACGAAAAACAAAAGTCAACTGTTGATTTAGATTTGTGGACTTTGATCATTGAGTGGTTAATTACTTCTTTGTGTGTAACCCCTAAATCACAACGCGGTTTTTGATTCTCCAACAGCAGATTAGAGAATTAAACAGTTTTGAACACATAGAATGCAATAATAACAAACACAGAGGAGCCATGGGTCCAACAGTCATGGGTAATGGAATGGCAGAAGTCCATAAATGTCAATAAATGTCCTTAAAAGTCCTGGATCAATGTCCTTAGACTCTTTTGCATCGACAAGAAACTACTCAAAAAAAAAAACTGTGAGAAATCTTTGCGATCTGCTCCCATGAAAGGCCTTAACTCCGCTCACAGTGTTCTGTCGGATGCTTTAGGATGAATTGTTTGGAAGCTTTTCTCGGCTGCACAAGAAAATCTACAAAACAATTGATCCTGGAGCTTTTCAGACACGACCGGGATCAAAAGTAAAGTCACCATGAGGAGTCACTAAAAGTATCAGTATGTAAGATTTTCATGTAAAGTCGTCATTAAAGGGCCTTAATCTGTCAAAGGCTTTAATAAAACATGCTCTTTTTCAATACTTCTTTAACTGATAACAGTAGTTCAGAGATATTTGGATTTAAAAATTAGTTTTACAGCCCATAAATCTTGTTATTGTTTTCATTTCGATGTCCCGCCCTCCACTGTTTCACCAATCAGAAAGTTGCCAGAACTCACGGCGTGGAGCTAATCTCACTGGTAAAGTACCATGTGGCGCAGAACTAAAAAAGGTCTCGTTCTGATTCTCAAATCATTAACGACAAAACAAGGAATAAAACCAGGATTTCTATCTTTGTGAAAAAGGTGTTGGTTATAGATTTGTTGTTGACAAAACTCTTGTCTATTCAGCTGTTATGGTGTATCTGGCAACCTGAGTCAGGGAGAGTGGGAGAGGCTGCAGTACCACTTTTGGCCACATTTATACATACTGCTCCTTTAAAATTCGCCCAAAGAATTCCTTTTTATTATAACATAGAATCAGAATGAACCAATTCTTAGTAAGTGGCTTAAACAATGCAGATTTAACAGTTTTTGTGCGGCTAATGCTTGATGCGCGGCTAATCCTAACTAAGTGAATAAAGGTAAATAATGAATACAACTTTTGGTATAATCTTTAACTTTCCAGAATTCCAGTGATTTGAACCGTTAATGGGGGCTGCAGTGAAACTTCTCATGACTTCGACCCAAACAAAGCCACATAAACAACCCCCGCTCCTTCTCTTCTTCACTTTTTTTTAAATAGAAGAACGTCTCAATCTCCAACTCTTTCAAACACCTTCACTTTTGCTCCGCGCTGTGAGAAAAGTCTCTTTGAACAAACGGCCAAAGCTTCTCCCTCCTTTTCATCGCCCCCTTTCTCCCCCTTTTAAGCCTCAACGCAAACATTCCGCCCGGCCCTCCTCCCGGTCGTCACGGTAACACGGCCTGGTCTTGATTGGATAATAGCCCCCCCCCCCTGCACCTCGGACCGTAGAAACCGTGGCGTGTGATGATACGGTCGCGGCGGCGTGTTTTGAGAGATAATGACAGGGATTGGTGATGAGAGGAGCAGAGCGCGGCCGAGCGGATTACAAGGTGGTGATTTACAAGAATTTTTTTATGTCATTTTTAACAAAGGAGGCAAATTTTTCCGAGCCGAGACCCTGATTTAGATGTTTGTGTTTTGGTTCATTCTCAGTCTTCAGTCAAATAAAGAAAGAAAAGTTTTGTGGTGATTGAAAGATGGATTTTTGGTGTGGGTTCAGTAGTTTCAGGTCGTGCATACTTGTTACTGTGTTAGCTGGAAAAACATAAAACACAAAAACGTTGCCCAGAAAAGTCTGAAACACAATTAAAGTAGCTCTATGTAAGATTTTCATGTCAAGTCGTCATTAAAGGGCCCTAAAAAGTCAAAAAGCAGGAAAGCAAAGGAGATATTTACACTTCAAAATCAGTTTTCCAGCCCCTGAATTCCTGTTATTGTTTTCATTTCGATGTCCAGCCCTCCATTGTTTCACCAATCAGAAAGTTGCCAGAACTCACCGCGTGGAGCTAATCTCACTGGTAAAGTACCATGTGGCGCAGAACTAACGACAAAACAAGGAATAAAAGCAGGATTTCTATCTTTGTGAAAAAGGTGTTGGTTATAGATTTGTTGTTGACAAAACTCTTGTCTATTCAGCTGTTATGGTCCCAGCTGGATTCGTCTGCATATCTGGCAACCTGAGTCAGGGAGAGTGGGAGAGGCTGCAGTACCACTTTTGGCCACATTTTTACATACTACTCCTTTAACTATATACATTTGGCCAGGCAAGTTTATTTGTATTTTCTTATGTATGTATTTTCTTATGCAGAAGGTTGTTGGTTTTAATCCTTGGTCTTAGACAGTGGTGATGATCCAGGACTCTCAACAATCAACAATGTTTTTTGGACTTTCTCAAATTTTATGGACTTTGGTCTCTGCCTCTTATGGACCAACAGCTCTGTGTGTTTTTATCATTTCATTTCCTGTGTTTCATCTGTTTGATTTTCTGATCTGTGTTTTTAAATCGACAACATTGAAATGGTGTTTGTGTCTTCAGCTGCAGGACATGAAGGCTAACGTGTTGTGTGTTTGTTGTGTTGCAGATATCGGCTCAGACTCAGACCGATGACTTGTATCTGGACGATGCAGGTTCAGGAGGATTCTACCCCGAGGACGACGACGACTTCAGCTCTGGCTCCGGCTCTGGTACAAACACACACAAACACACACACACACACACACACACACACATACACAAACACACACATACAGACACAGACACACAAACACACACACACACAAAACACAAACACACACACACAAACGCACACACACATGAAGAACAGAAACACACAAACACACAGAAATGCACACACCCACCCACTCACACACCCACACACAAGAACAGTAACACACACACACAATAAGAACACACACGACACAAAATTATTCGCACATATACATACATATAAAGAACACACGCACACACACATATACACACACAGACATGGAGAACATGCACACACGCGGACGTGTGTGCATGTGTGGGGCGGCACGGTGGCTGAGTGGATAGCACTCTCGCCTCTCAGCAAGAAGGTCCTGGGTTCGAATCCTGGTCGGACCAGGGCCTTTCTGAGTGGAGTTTGCATGTTCTCCCTGTGTCTGCGTAGGTTTCCTCCGGGTACTCCGGTTTCCCCTACCACTAAAAATATGTCCAATAGTTCTGGCATGTGCCTCCTGTACTGGCCCTGCTCCCATCTCTGTGTGGAGTGAGAGACAAGTGCCCAAAAATTAACAATTGTAAACCGCTTTGAGACTCAGATCTGCAGTGAAAAGGCGGTATATAAATAAAGATTACTTACTTACACGCTCATATACACACATACCTACACACACACACGCACACAAACACACACACACGTACACACAGACATGGAGAACACACGCACGCACGCACACACACACACACACACACACACACACACACCAGTACACAGTAGTCCTTCTCACAGATATGAAGTATTTACAAGCTGCAGGGAAAATACTTAATAGAATCGAGATCTCAGAACATTTGGGGTGAGTTTGGTTTTAAGTCTCGGGCGACTTTCAAAACTGAAACTGGGCCATGCTCGTGTTCGGGAGGCGCTAATCCACAAAGATCTAAACATGTTTTATTAATATGCTTTATTTTCTAACACAGCTGCTCCATCGACATAAGAAGAACCAGGAACAAACAAAAACTCAACTACTATTCAGTTTTTGAATAGCTCTTGATCACAGACTCGATACAAAGTTGTCAATTCACAAACAGCAGATCAGAGAATCAAACACAAGAAATGAAATACCCAGCGTGTACGGACCAGAGGACTGATGTAGAGCAACACAACATGTATGTGTGCGTCCTGTTGGTCTCTGGCTGCTGCAGACAGACCTTTACCCTTTAGGCGCCAGAGGTTTTTTAAAGAATCAATATTTACGACTTCTTTGAGTGATAAGAGATAGAGGCTTTATGTAAATCAGAGAAATGATAAGGGAGGCCCAAGGTTTATGTAGAAATGAAATGTGCCAATCTAATCTGCATCTTATGACTTCATATGGTGGTGGCAACTGTGGATTTTCATGATTTTTTTATTACTAACAGACACAAATGATTAGGACATGAACACAAACACAACTCACTTTGTTCTCTACTCGTCGGGGGAAATTTTAAAACTGAAAATCATTGTGTGGCAGGAGTTTGAATACATTTTGACAACCTGCTGGACACAATCGGCCGTTTTAAACAGCACATTTGAAAGATGTCTCTGGAAAAGGCTTGGCGGAGGACCAGGGGACAAGAAGGCGGGGCTTAGAGTTGGGCGTGGTTTGGGATATGATTGACAGCTTGCTTGAAAAAACAGACAGTTGTCTGTCAACTTAAGTCAACCAAAGGCACCCATGAAGGTTATGAAAAAAAACAAAACAAACAATGTCCTGAATCTCTGTCAAACCTTACCCGCCTGCTCATGTTTAGATACAAGTGCTGTGTGTGTGGAGCTGATCTAGAACCCAAGGGCCTCTACCTCTACCTTAAAGAGTGACTAAACACCTGTGCCCAGCCTGACTCCGCCCATATGAACATTTGAAAGATGTCTCTGGAAAAGGCTTGGCGGAGGACCAGGGGACAAGAAGGCGGGGCTTAGAGTTGGGCGTGGTTTGGGATATGATTGACAGCTTGCTTGTCACACACAAAAAACAGACAGTTGTCATTGCTGCTTAAATCAATAGTTTACACACCAGAAAGTCTCATTCCCCGCTTGTTTACTGTACACACTAAGATAATTGTACAGCTACACACCTGAACATAAACCGCAGAATTATCTCAGCAGCAGTGGCGGTCAACTGATGTAATTTAATATTAATCCACTAGATGTCGCCAGAATACTCCAACTCGCTGCTGGGGCGTGTGGAGTGAGAGACAAATGCCCAAAAAATAACAATTGTAAACTGCTTTGTGACTCTGGTCTGTGAAAGGCGGTATATACATAAAGATTACTTACTGACTTACTTGAATGAGTTTATACCAAGCCCCGGTGATCCAAGATGGCGTCCTATTCAAATGAATGGCTTGTGCTCAGTAGCGCATGGGACACACACCGGGACCGAGTGATTAGCGGAACTTGCCTATATTTGGGCATCGTCTGGTCCTCCCGGTTCTGCGCAGTGGACGAGCTCCCATGATGCTTTGCGACAAATACGTGTGTGTGTGTGGCTTTCATGCACATGCACAGAGCCTGACCAATCAGAGCTGATCAGTGCAGCAGAGCGGAGTCAGAGCGGGAAGGAAAGGAGCGGAGTTTGTGGCACTAAAGTGTGGATTTAAAGAAAACCGAAGGATTTAAGAATAAAAAAAGTTCAAGATGACAAGGGACACTAAAATCCCCACAAAATCCGACCTTTATGAAAGCTGTAGGTTCTCTGTTAGGTTCTCGGTCAGGTTCTCGGTCAGGTTCTCGGTCAGGTTCTCGGTCAGGTTCTCTGTCAGGTTCTCTGTCAGGTTCTCGGTCAGCTGAGGACCCACGTGAATTTAGTCTGCAGTACCACAGCGCCCCCTGTGCCCATGGGTGGGACAGCTATAAGCGAGTTATACCCTATCCAGTTATTATTATAGATCCATGGTTTATATCACTGGTGCAGAGAGACACACGTCACACAAACCAACTGACATCACACATCACTCCAGAGCCAATGAGAGGCCAGGCACCAAATTCAAATGTAGTGCCACCCAAAAGATGGAGAGGGCGCCACACAGACGGATTTAGGCTCAAAAGTGAGATTTTATTTAATTTGCACTAAAACGTCAAAAAAATGACCAGGATATGAGGAGACACATATAAGACACATATTTATGCAGTTTATGAGTTAAAAAAGTTGATTTGGGGGTTAAAAAAATCGTATTTTGGGCTGATGAGTGCGGCTTCTCTGCGGTGTGTACGGTCCTCGCTGATAACATTCAAGATAAATTAACAATCACTCAAAACTAAAACAAAATAAAATCTCTAGCTTCAGCACAAAGAAGAAGTCAGAAGTACAACATCCCGTCCTCAGGAACAATCCTTTACATAAAAATAACTTATGGGTGGATCTTTTGGATGAACTGCTGCAATAATATCACTTTGCGTTTTATCCCCAGACTTTAATTTCCAATGTTTTTCATCGAAACCAAATCGTTCCTTCTCTCCATAAGACGAACGGGATCTTAACCAAAGCCAGTTCCAGCCGTACACGTACACACACACACACACACACACACACACACACACACACACACACACACACACACACACACACACACACACACACACACACACACACACACACACACACACACACACACACACACACACACACACACACACACACACACACACACACACACACACAGCCCAGAGCCTCGCTGCATATTTCACATTTCTCTTTATTGTGCTGGGCTCCTCTGGCCCTCAGCGTGTCCTCACAGCTCAATTCCTGCTGTAAAAATCTGTGCACTTTTTAAAATGAGTTGTAAAAGTGCCGCTGGGGGAGGTCAGAGGAGGTAAAGGCACAGGAGGCTGATCAATAGCACCACAGAAAAACACTTTTATCTGGTTATGAAGTAGTCGTAGATTCATACGGTTCTACATTTTCTTCTCTTGGTCAAATATTTGGCTTTTAATTCACAGCTAACGGTTTCAATCAGTCCAAAGGTGGTTCAAGAGACTTCGCCAAATGAAAAACACACAAAGTTATTAATAAACTGGTTTTATATAGTACTTTTTTGGACACTCATAGACACTCATTCTTTCGGTCCAGACTCCGTGGTGAGAAACTACTACTGTAGCCACAGCTGCCCTGGGGCACACTGACAGAAGCGAGGCAACCAGTCTGTGCTATCGGCCCCTCCGACCACCACCAACCATTCACACACACACCAGACTCATTCTAATGTGGGGGAAGTGTCTTGCCTAAGGACAGTTAGCACTTTACAGCCGCTGTCGCCCCACTGTGGCACCTGCTGGTGTTCCCAGAGGTCTCCCATCACAGCACTAACCAGGCCCTGCCACCTTTGATTTTGCAAACACAGTTGTAAGGTTGTGTCACGTTTCGTTAACGAGGAAGTACCCAACATGCAGGACTGCCAAAAATATTCTGATGGTATATCCCTAAATCCTCTTCCTCTCTGTTGCAGGCGCAGGTGAAGATGGCGACGCAGAGACGGTGACAGTGAGCACGGTCTACATCCAGCCCGAAGCCGCGGTTCCCACCAAGGACCAGACCAAAGACTACACGCCCAGAGTGGACCCCGTCACCCAGAGACAGCAGCCCGCCACCCCCAGGAAGCCCTTCAGAACAGAGGTCAGGGATCACAGGGACTCAGGGACACAGGGACCTCAGGGACCCCGGGGATACAGGGACACAGGGACCACAGGGACTCGGGGACACAGGGACCTCAGGGACCACAGGGACTCGGGGACACAGGGACCTCAGGGACTCGGGGACACAGGGACCCCGGGGATACAGGGACACAGGGACCTCAGGGACTCGGGGACACAGGGACCTCAGGGACCATAGGGACTCGGGGACACAGGGACCTCAGGGACCCCGGGGACACAGGGACACAGAGACACAGGGATGCAGAGGCAAAGGGACACAGGGACACATAGTCACAGCGACCCCAGGGACCTTCGGAACACAACTTGTGAAATTATAAAACTTTTTATTTTAAATGTTATATTTGATTCACCGTAAAATATCAAATAATAGCCCGAGCGAATAAGCTTATAAAAATACTCTAGTGCGATATGTTTTTTTACTTCCTTATTATGCATGTTTGGCTGGTACAATACGATATAAGAAAGGTGAGAAAGAACTCGACACCGTGGCTGAGTGGTTAGCTCTCTTGGTTCTCAGCAGAAGGTTCTCAAATCTTATCGGGCAGAGTTTTCCCTGTGCCTGCGCAGGTTTTCTCCGGGTGCCTATCACTAAAAACATGCACACTTGGAAAACTCCTCCAGCTCTGGCCTTGACCAAAATGAGCATTAACACGTGGAGATGGTTCCTGGGAGCTGTTACTACGGCGACCACTGCTCCTTTGAGGATGGGTCGAACGCAGAAGATGAAATAAGAGCACCTTGACCTAGCTCGATGTAAGGAAGTGAGTCCATTTATCAAAGCTTTAGTTAGTAAGTAAGTAAATCAGTCATTTATTTAGCACATTTTTTTTAGTAATAATATATCAAACTTGTATAGCGCTTTTTTGGACACTCAAAGACGCTTCACAGAATAAAAAACGATAATAAAAAGGGGTTTACGGAAAAATCTTGTTTGAAAAGATGGGTTTTGAGACTGATTTAAAGCATGGGAGTGAGTCAGAGTTTCTGATGGGCAGTGGGAGTGAGTTCCAGAGGGTTGGGGCGGCAATGGCAAAGGCTCTGTCCCCCAAGGTCCGGCGGAGGTGGCGGGTGGGTTGGTGCTGTTGTAGGAGCTCAGTAAGGTAGGGGGCGGGGCCAGGTTATGGAGGGACTTGTAGGTGAGGAGGAGGAGCTTGTAATGGATGCAGTATTGAAGGAGGAGCCAGTGGAGCTGCTGGAGGACAGGGGTGATGTGTTCTCTGGACCGGGTGTGGGGGAGGAGGAGGCGGGCTGCAGAGTTCTGGATGTATTGCAGTTTTTGGAGATGGGAAGCCCGGAGAGGAGGCTATTACAGTAGTCGAGTCTGGAGGTGATGAATGTGTGGATGAGGATTTTACAGACTAAGCTCACACAAAACATTTCCAATATTCACTGTTTCGCCAGCGTCACAGATTGTTTTGGAAGATAGTAAGTAAGTAAGCTTTATTTATATACCGCCTTTCACAGACCAGAGTCACAAAGCGGTTTACAATTGTTATTTTTGGGCACTTGTCCTCTCACTCCACACAGAGATGGGAGCAGGGTCGCCAGTACAGGAGGCACATGCCAGAACTATTGTACATATTTTTAGTGGTAGGGGAAACCGGAGTACCTGGAGGAAACCTACGCAGACACAGGGAGAACATGCAAACTCCCCTCAGAAAGGCCCTGGTCCGGCCGGGATTCGAACCCAGGACCTTCTTGCTGAGAGGCAATAGTGCTATCCACTCAGCCACAGTGCCGAATGAGAAAGTCTTCTTCTCCACGGCCACTAAAACCAACACAACGTTGGTTTGATGTCATGTTGCCGCGGTGACGACGGTGCTTAAACCCTGACTCACCACCAGAGCGTCTGAACACAACCTCATCGTGACCTAATCCTCGCTAAAGCCGCAGCCACGAGAACGACAGGCGTCACTCGTTCTCGCTGCTGCGGAGATGAAGCAGATTACAGACGCTGATGGGACAGAGGCGTGCGGCCCCGACGTTTGTGACTCTGCATCTGTTTGGGATTAAGTTAGAAAGGTTTGAGTGCTCTGAGCTCTCGCTGCGGCCGCTGTGGCTTCTGGTCTGCGTGCCTAATAATAATAATAATAATAATAATAATAATAATAATAATGACAGTAAACATGAGTAAATGACAGTAAAAATATCTTCTATCTCTTTTGAATGTCCTGAGTGTCTCTGTTTTGTGCTTTACAATTGTTATTTTTCTTGCTTTTTTCTGCCTGAGATGTTGCTGCAGTTCAGTGTTCATGGTTTTACACTGGTCCAGACCAGAGCAGAGAGGATTCATGGTTTTACACTGGTCCAGACCAGAGCAGAGAGGATTCATGGTTTTACACTGGTCCAGACCAGAGCAGAGAGGATTCATGGTTTTACACTGGTCCAGACCAGAGCAGTGAGGATTCATGGTTTTACACTGGTCCAGACCAGAGCAGAGAGGATTCATGGTTTTACACTGGTCCAGACCAGAGCAGTGAGGATTCATGGTTTTACACTGGTCCAGACCAGAGCAGTGAGGATTCATGGTTTTACACTGGTCCAGACCAGAGCAGAGAGGATTCATGGTTTTACACTGGTCCAGACCAGAGCAGAGAGGATTCATGGTCCAAACCAAGTGGATCAGGAGAAAATCCACTGGAGGAATGCTAACTTTTTGAAAAATGCTAATGAAGCATTTGGACCAGAGCAGAGAAAATGGCCGAACCAAGCGGCTGCTCCACCTCTGCTGCTGTGACCTCTAATAATCTAATATTAATGATGATAACAATAGTAGTAGTAGTAGTAGTAGTAGTAGTAGTAGTAGTAGTAGTAGTAGTAGTAGTAGTAGTAGTAGTAGTAGTAGTGGTGTGCAAATCTATATTACATTAATTTCAATCAAAATAATACAAAATAAAACTAAAGGGAGAGAGGATAAAGTTTTTCTCAGTGATTTGCAGACGACTCAAAATGTGCAGATTTGTTTTGTTCAAATTCGGATTCAATTTAATCCTGAGTTTTAATGAGATAAATGGCAAAAGATCCTTGTGTCTTATTTGTTTTGAAATAACGGTAACAATTTTCCCATTTCCAAACCTTTCAGCATGAATTGAATCTGTTACTTTAGCTTCCAGACACAATCAGGGACGATAGATTTCCTCTTTTCTCGTTCTTCTAATAATGTGTTGTTGTTGTTGTTGTTTTCAGGCCCCAGTGCCAGTGACAGAGGAGATCCAGAGAAACCAGATGACCAGTACGACCAGTGTCCCTGGTTCACCACAGGAGGCAGTAGAGGTACACTCCGACAACCTCTTCCACCGGACGGAGGTGTTGGCAGGTGAGGCACAGATGTGATGTCACGTGGCCTTTGTAAAACCAGGAATTCTGTCCAAGTTGTTTGCCAAAGATCAATATTATAGCCATCCAATCAGGAGCCACTGGGTTATGGTTGGTGCTAGGGTCCACTCTGGTTATAGCCTGGTCTTACCACACCATAGTACTCATTTCGTTTCGTACTAAGGTCTGGATTTTCTCCATTAAGCTCCGTTAACAGGTGGGAGGGGTTAACTCCTTTTGCAGATTGAAACGATTGGATCTGAGTTTAACTTGACCCATATAATGCAGCATTTAGCCTAGCTTTAGCATTTAGCCTAGCTTTAGCCATCTCCTTTGCCACTAACGGAGCCCGTGGGGAGTAGAGCCACAACATCTTTGCTTCAATGACATTTACTAAACATTCCTCTTGCTCCGGCTTCAGTTTCTTGATATTTGGATTGAACCAGAACAGATTATTTTACTATCACATTCTCCGACAAACTACAACCAGCAAATTCAGACAAACTCTTGACGTCACCGACACCGACCTACAACACCCGCCTCCCCCGCTCTCTGATTGGTCGGAGGGGATTCAACCGAGGAAACTGCAGCCACTAGGATCAGACCCAGACGTACATGTAGGAAATGACCATGGACCAGAGTTTACACATGGTAAGACCAGACGTACATGTAGGAGATGATCATGGACCAGAGTTTACACATGGTAAGACCAGACGTACATGTAGGAAATGACCATGGACCAGAGTTTACACATGGTAAGACCAGACGTACATGTAGGAAATGACCATGGACCAGAGTTTACACATGGTAAGACCAGACGTACATGTAGGAAATGATCATGGACCAGAGTTTACACATGGTAAGACCAGTCGTACATGTAGGAGAGGATCATGGACTCAGGGTCCCATGAGGTGACCGCTGCTCCTCCTTCAGCTGCTCGCGATGCATAACATTTACAATGCGTTTTATCGACGTTCACTAAATGCCAGACTACACACTCGCCGCAGCAAAGAGGAGAGATGAAAGATGGCCTCTCTCTCATTTATAAATTATCACGTCCTCACGAAGCTGTCGTTTTCGCAAACAGTCAAAACACCGCGGCGAGAACAACAAAGACGCCGCGTTGTCGATCAGAGCTCCCCTCGGAGGCGCTCGAACATCCGGACTCGCCGTTTCAGAGCTTCCCCTCGATCCGGCGGCGACTGAACTCTCCACGGTCCCTCTGCGGCTTTCACGCAGAGGTTATTACATTTGTTGTCGAACGAGGAAGAAAACAAGTCAAAACGGTGTCGCACAGAGTCAAACAAGGGTCGCAGCAACAGTCCAGGATGAAAGAGAGAAAATATGGCAATCACAGGCTTCAGAAATGATAGAAGTGAGTTTAAAGTGTAAATTTAGGCTTAAACTGAGCTCTTCAAATGATCAATGATTCTTCTGGGTCCTGGAAAAGCCGTGTTCCAGCTTCTTCCCTCATTGTTCGCTGAGAAGCAGGACTATAGGGAACTACTTTTCATACTGTAATCAACTCTAAAGTATCATTACAAAAACGTGCCATTCGCCTGATATATAAAGTAGGATATTATGATCATACAAATCCATTAATTCAAAAAACAAATATTATGAAATTTAAAGACATTGTTAACTATAAAATACTTAATCATGTTTAAGGCTGAAACAAATGTGCTTCCAGAAGGTGTTCAAAAGTATTTTCAACTTCAAAAAACTAGATTAGTTTAAGAGATGACAGTGCATTTATTTTACCAAAAATTAGAAAATCCCTGACTCAGCAATGTTTGTCGTTTCCTGGGCCTCAGTTGTGGAACAATCTCAGCAGAGAGATAAAAATATGTATTTATTTTATTTTTTGTATTTAAGAAAAACTCACTGAACGATCCTGGACGATTACCAAACTCAATGATTGTCTTGAACTTGTAACTACAAAATTTTAATTCATTGAAATACTGTATGTTATGCTAGCTTGTATTGCATCATGATCATGCAATGGGTGAATGTTCATGAAGAAGTTTTTTTACTTCTTCCCTAATAATAAATAAACTGAAACTGACATCTGGACATGCTAACAGCTCCTTTACAAAAACTGAAATCAGAAAAAATCACTTGTTATCGAAGCTGTTTTTTGTTGATCGATTTCACAGCTGTTTCTTGTATTTTTTTGTGTCCACCGGTAAGACACACACCAAACTGAGTAATGTCAGTGTGGCAAGGCAAGGTTTTTCTTTTGTATTGCACCGTTCATACATAAGGCAAGTCAAAGTGCTGAACATGACGAGATTGAAGCTGCATGAATCTGAAAACCTTGGTCCGTCTTTGACCCATTGACTGCCATTGACGTATTTGTCTGAGACCCTAAATTCGGCTGGGGATCACAGGAGAATAAAAATAGCTTGAAACAAACTTATTTTGGCTGATGAAAGTAGACAATCCAGTCTTTCAGAACCTGGTTTCATATTTCACATTGCCACAGTACATAATATTCTGTGGGTCTTGAGAATCATTGAAATCATCAAAAATGACTGGCAGTCAATGAGTTAAATGTTCGGTCCCACACTTTCTTATGTGTTCCGGGAAAGTGTTCCAAAAAGTACGCCTTTGTACAGAACAGCTTCCCCTGGTTAGTGCCATGGTTAGTGCCATGGTTAGTGCCATGGTTAGTCTGGTTAGTGCCATGGTTAGTCTGGTTAGTGCCATGGTTAGTGCCATGGTTAGTCTGGTTAGTGCCATGGTTAGTCTGGTTAGTGCTATGGTTAGTCTGGTTAGTGCCATGGTTATTCTGGTTAGTGCTATGGTTAATCTGGTTAGTGCCATGGTTATTCTGGTTAGTGCTATGGTTAGTCTGGTTAGTGCCATGGTTTTTCTGGTTAGTGCTATGGTTAGTCTGGTTAGTTCCATGGTTAGTCTGGTTAGTGCTATGGTTAGTGTGGTTAGTTCCATGGTTAGTCTGGTTAGTGCTATGGTTAGTCTGGTTAGTGCCATGGTTATTCTGGTTAGTGCTATGGTTAGTCTGGTTAGTGCCATGGTTATTCTGGTTAGTGCCATGGTTAGTCTGTTAGTGCCATGGTTAGTCTGGTTAGTGCTATGGTTAGTCTGGTTAGTGCCATGTTTATTCCAGTTAGTGCTATGGTTAGTCTGGTTAGTTCCATGGTTAGTCTAGTTAGTGCTATGGTTAGTCTGGTTAGTGCCATGGTTAGTGCCATGGTTATTATGGTTAGTCTGGTTAGTGGCATGGTTATTCTGGTTAGTGCTATGTTAGTCTGGTTAGTGCCATGGTTAGTCTGGTTAGTGCTATGGTTAGTCTGGTTAGTGCCATGGTTAGTCTGGTTAGTGCCATGGTTGTTCTGGTTAGTGCCATGGTTATTCTGGTTAGTGCCATGGTTAGTCTGGTTAGTGCCATGATTAGTGCCATGGTTATTCTGGTTAGTGCTATGGTTAGTCTGGTTAGTGCCATGGTTAGTCTGGTTAGTGCCATGGTTAGTCTGGTTAGTGTCATGGTTAGTGTCATGGTTAGTGCCATGGTTAGTCTGGTTAGTGCTATGGTTAGTCTGGTTAGTGCCATGGTTAGTCTGGTTAGTGCTATGGTTAGTCTGGTTAGTGCCATGGTTAGTCTGGTTAGTGCCATGGTTATTCTGGTTAGTGCCATGATTGGTGCCATGCTTATTCTGGTTAGTGCCATGGTTAGTCTGGTTAGTGCTATGGTTAGTCTGGTTAGTGCCATGGTTAGTCTGGTTAGTGTCATGGTTAGTCTGGTTAGTGCCATGGTTAGTCTGGTTAGTGTCATGGTTAGTGCCATGGTTAGTCTGGTTAGTGCCATGGTTATTCTGGTTAGTGCTATGGTTAGTCTGGTTAGTGCCATGGTTATTCTGGTTAGTGCTACGGTTAGTCTGGTTAGTGCCATGGTTATTCTGGTTAGTGCTATGGTTAGTCTGGTTAGTGCCATGGTTATTCTGGTTAGTGCTATGGTTAGTCTGGTTAGTGCCATGGTTATTCTGGTTAGTGCTATGGTTAGTCTGGTTAGTGTCAGGGTTAGTCTGGTTAGTGCTATGGTTAGTCTGATTAGTGCCATGGTTAGTCTGGTTAGTGCCATGATTAGTGCCATGGTTATTCTGGTTAGTGCCATGGTTAGTTCGGTTAGTGCCATGATTAGTGCCATGGCTATTCTGGTTAGTGCCATGGTTAGTCTGGTTAGTGCCATGGTTAGTCTGGTTAGTGCTATGGTTAGTCTGGTTAGTGCCATGGCTAGTCTGGTTAGTGCCATGGTTAGTCTGGTTAGTGCCATGGTTAGTCTGGTTAGTGCTATGGTTAGTCTGGTTAGTGCCATGGTTAGTCTGGTTAGTGCCATGGTTAGTCTGGTTAGTGCTATGGTTAGTCTGGTTAGTGCCATGGTTAGTCTGGTTAGTGCCATGATTAGTGCCATGGTTATTCTGGTTAGTGCCATGGTTAGTGCTATGGTTAGTCTGGTTAGTGCCATGGTTAGTCTGGTTAGTGCTATGGTTAGTCTGGTTAATGCCATGGTTAGTCTGGTTAGTGCTATGGTTAGTCTGGTTAGTGCCATGGTTAGTCTGGTTAGTGCTATGGTTAGTCTGGTTAGTGCCATGGTTAGTCTGGTTAGTGCCATGATTAGTGCCATGGTTATTCTGGTTAGTGCCATGGTTAGTCTGGTTAGTGCCATGGTTATTCTGGTTAGTGTCATGGTTAGTCTGGTTAGTGTCATGGTTAGTGCTATGGTTAGTCTGGTTAGTGCCATGGTTATTCTGGTTAGTGCTATGGTTAGTCTGGTTAGTGTCATGGTTAGTCTGGTTAGTGCTATGGTTAGTCTGATTAGTGCCATGGTTAGTCTGGTTAGTGCCATGATTAGTGCCATGGTTATTCTGGTTAGTGCCATGGTTAGTTCGGTTAGTGCCATGATTAGTGCCATGGCTATTCTGGTTAGTGCCATGGTTAGTCTGGTTAGTGCCATGGTTAGTCTGGTTAGTGCTATGGTTA